GAGCAGCAGCAGCAGCGGCAGCAGCTCGTCCAGGAGGAAGTCCAACGGTCCAAGAGCTCGGCGGCCGCCGCCGCCGCTGCCGCCGAGGTTAAGGAGCATAAGGCGGGCAAGGCGGGCGAGTCGCCGCTGGCCAACAGCCTGGGCCTGCAGACCTACTCGGTGGAGATGCCCGCCATGTCGCCCGGCGGGGGCATGATGGGCGGCGGCGGCCTCGACGAGCTCCAGAAAAGGGTGCCAAAGCTCATCTTCAAGAAAGGAAGCAGGAAGAACACAGACAAAAGCTACCTGAACTTCGTGTCGCCGCTGCCGGACCTCGTGGGGCAGAAGTCCTTGTCGGGGAAGCCCGGCAGCTCCCTCGGCATCGCGGCGAACGCCGGCACGGAGACCCTCGGCCTCCTGCAGGGCGCCGGCGGCAAGCAGGGCCCGATGAACAGCAATTACGACGATGCCATGCAGTTCTCCAAGAAAAGGAGGTACCTGCCCACCGCCACCAGCAACAGTGCCTTCTCGATCAACGTGGGCCACATGGTCTCCCAGCCGTCCGTCATCCAGGCCGCCGCCGGGGTCAGCGTCCTGGAGAGCGAGGCCCCGCTGTCGCTGATCGACTCCTCCGCGCTGAACGCGGACATCAAGTCCTGCCACGACAAGTCCGGCATTCCTGACGAGGTCCTGCAGAGCATCTTGGATCAGTACTCCAGCAAGTCGGAGAGCCAGAAGGAGGACCCTTTCAGCATCGCCGAGCCGCGCGTGGATTTACACGCCTCAGGAGAGCACTCGGAGCTGGTGCCGGAGGGGAGCCTGAGCCCCGGGTCCCAGACCCCCTCCAGCGACAAGGCGATGGTGTTGCAGGAATACTCCAAATACCTCCAGCAGGCGTTCGAGAAATCCACCAACGCAGGTTTCGCGCTCGGACACGGTTTCCAGTTCGTCAGTCTGTCCTCACCTCTCCACAACCACACGTTGTTCCCGGAAAAACAGATTTACACTACGTCTCCCTTGGAGTGTGGTTTCGGCCAGTCTGTTACCTCAGTGTTGCCATCTTCGTTGCCAAAGCCTCCTTTTGGGATGTTGTTCGGATCGCAGCCGGGTCTGTACCTGTCTGCTCTGGATGCCACCCACCAGCAGTTGACCCCTTCCCAGGAGCTGGACGATCTGATCGACTCTCAGAAGAATCTAGAGACTTCCTCGGCCTTCCAGTCCTCATCTCAGAAACTGCCGAGCCAGAAGGAGCAGCAGAAAAACTTGGAGTCCTCCACCAGCTTTCAGATGCCATCTCAGGAGTTAGCGAGCCAGATGGACCCTCCGAAGGACATCGAGCCTCGAGCAACGTACCAGATCGAGAACTTTGCACAGGCGTTCGGTTCTCAGTTCAAGTCGGGCAGCAGGGTGCCAATGACCTTTGTCAGTAACTCTAACGGCGAAGTGGACCACAGAGTCAGGACTTCGGTGTCAGATTTCTCAGGGTACACAAACATGATGTCGGATGTGAGCGAGCCATGTAGTACGCGAGTAAAGACGCCCACCAGCCAGAGCTACAGGTAAGCCCCAGGTGACAGGCTGGCGGTCGAAGGATGCGGTTTCTGTTTCGTTCTGAGAACACTGCCATTGGAATGTTTGTACACGATCCTCTTAAGAATAATGTAATGCCCTTTCAATGCAACTTTTCATATTTAGTTTATTTTGTTAGTGTGATTTTAGCTCTGTTTCTATTATGATTTTTAATCGAAATCAATAGATTAAAAATAGTTTGACATTCAAAGTGACAATGTTTAGCAATCAAATTTACATGTATAGATCGTCAGGGAATAGCCCAAAAGTTTTAAATGCAAAAAAAAAAAAAGAAAAAAGAATGGAAAAAAAAAAGAAAAAAAACTATGTAAAAATACAAAACAAAAAAACTTTGTTGCTAGGATTAAGGTTATTCTAATTGCTTTACTCTCAGGAAAGTGTAATAACGCATGGGAATTCTGTACGCTATCACTGTAACGGGATATCCAGTTTACAGATGGTATGGTATACGTTTCACCATTTCAGTAAGGGATCGAAAACATTTCAAATTGCTCTGTCTGGGCTGATAAGATTTACATTTCATCGTTTGAGTAAGGGATCGAAAACATTTCAAATTGCTGTCTCCATCTGGGCTGATGCGAAGTTCGAGATGTGGGCGACCCGTGTTCTGTGGCGGCTTCTTACTGTGCCCTGAGCTTCCCGACCACGTCCATCCCAGCCGGGCAGGACGGATTCTGGGACCTTTGATCAAAGCCTGGGATGATAGCTTTAATTAAAGAAGAAATAATCTTTAAAAAGCACCCTCTCCTTGCCCCACCTGTGACCAGGCTGCGGTTCCATGAGGAGTCAGTCAGCTGACGTCTGGCCAGTGTTGAAGCCTGAGTCGGGTGCCAGTGTTAGGACCCACGTTGGAATTACATAGTTTGAAACGGGGGGTGTGTGTTGTTGTTCTGCGCAGCCGGGAGGCACTGTCCTCTTGTCTGGTACACGTCACCCACACTTCTGGGTGCTTGTGTTTTTGTTTTTTTTTCTCCTTCTGAACCTACGCTCTTTCTAAGAGTTCTGGGCCTTGTCTTGACAGTTTCAACTTTAGAATGAGTTACATTCCAATAAGCATCTTACATGCCTATGGCATCCAAATACTAAACAATAAGATGAACACCTGCCACTCCCCACCTTGAACAACAACAACAGAACCCCATCTAGATTTTCACGTGTCATCACGCCCCGCGCACTCGGAGCTGGAGAGGTGACGAAGGTGTGTAATTCCAGCTGGTGCCATAGCTCACGGGAGGGGGAGTCGGGGGGGGGCCCGCCTTTCGTAGTGACCTCAGAGCCTCTTGGTGGAGCCGCAGCCTGGTCGCACGGTGCACAGGGGCGCCCGTCAGTATTGTGCAGGGGCCGCGCGCAGCCACCCGAGCCAGCTCCCAGCCCCATTGCCATTTGCAGCTGCTGGCGACGGTGGCTGTGCTCCGAACCACTTTTTAGCCATTGTATTTTCCTCCTGATGATATTTTTTAATGGACTTGGGTGTTTGCGCTGATGAGTTTTTATGTACTTTTGGGGATGTCTCAGTCTTACGTCCTCCGCTGACGTCAGGAAAGTACCACTGTTTGTTTGCAGTCTGATTGTGCAACCAGCCTCACGGCGTCCGTGTGTGATACAGTCATTAATTCTGTGCGAGTGTAAGACACTTCTGTTATGAAAGCAGTGTTTGGGAAATAAGAAATTATTAAAATGGTTACAAAATACTAGTTAATTTCCTCCCCACACTTTTCCTCCCTGAGGTGTTGCTTTTGCCAGCTGAAGGCTCGCCTGCGTGTCACCGCAGGGTTCTTAGACAATGTGTTTAACCCTCTTACATACACTTGGTTCTAAAGTCTGTATTTCTTATCTGGGGGACGCGGTTGAGTTCTGCGGGGTGCAGAGCACGAGCTGTGAGGAGGACGGAGAGGACCTTCCCACTGTCTCTCAAGATGTACGGTTCCCCGTGTTTTGTTTTATACAGGTTTTGGATTTCTCTAACTTTTATTGTGTGTACTGAAACTGCATATGTATTATTCTGATTGTTTGCTCTAGTTTACTACCAATAAAAGAACTGTTAATCACAAAATTGCAAATGCGGTACCCTGTGCTTCCTGCACCGTCACCTCGTCTGGATTTTTCTATGCGCCGCGTTTCCTAAAACATTCATGTCTGAGGTGGAACCTGCGGGCCAGGGGCTGGTTCTTTCCTTTCAACCCAAGTATTTCATGTTTCCAGGCTCATTTGAAAATTGGTTGGCTGTTTGCCTTGTGTTTGAGGTTCACTGTATGAAAGCGGAGAAATTTAATATGTGAGTTGGGACATGGTTTCTTGAAATGGGGTTTGCCATCCTAAATACGATTCCAGAGAGGTTATGCGGCTTCGTTTTAAGTCAGATTCCAGTATCTTGGTTCCAGGCACAACAAGAGCGTGACACAAATAAAAATGGTCCTGAGCATCTTCAGCAGGAAAAAAAGTATTGTTAAGTCACAGTTTAGCAGTGTTTGGAATTTATGGCATTGGAAGGGCAGAGCTGGGGGTGAACACTGAAGATGCAGAGGAGGTATTTACAACTTAGTAAATATGTTAACTAAAGATGAGGAGAGGACATTGTAGGCGGCTCTATACAACCACGAGAAACTTGTGCTTTGAAATCTAGTGGCTACGAATGTTAAGAGTGAAAATATATGATGCTGTTATAGGGGGACGATCAAGTGTTTATATTGAGCCTAACTGTGGATTTGTCTGTGGAGGGATGTCTGTGCGCGGGGTGGGCCCGTGTGACCAGGGTGAACTGGCTTTTTCTCTGCCGGGCACTCGCTCCACGTGGTCATTCTCGAGTGAGTGGGCCCCGCAGTGTCCCTGGTTCCGCGTGACCCCGGCTGTGGCCCGGATGTTGATCGTTTGGCCCACCCACTTGCCCCCACTTTCCCATGTTGATCGTTTGGCCCACCCACTTGCCCCCACTTTCCCTCGTGCGGGATGCCTGCGTCTGGGGGTGACTAGGGAGCTCGCTTGTGTCTCTGTTGTGTGTGCGTTTGGGGTAAGGACGCCGTCCCCTCGCAGCGCCCGGCCGGTAATGGGTGAAGTCGCCGTCCCCTCGCAGCGCCCGGCCGGTAATGGGTGAAGTCGGTCAGTAACCGGAACAGAAAAATGGGACCAAACCCTGCATTTAGAGTTTTTAAAACCTTGGGTGGTACCGTCTTCCTCAGATGGGGTGTCCTGTGTCGCCCGTCAGGTGGGAGGGGCTGACCTGGTCCCTCCCTGGCGCCCGGCGTCCGGTGGTCACAGGGAGGCCCGAGCGGCTGGCCGGCAGCTTGGGCAGAACGGCCTCTGGGCACATGACACAGCCCTTCGCCCCAAGTTCACGGCTCTCGGAGCTGCGCCCCGCCCTCCGGAAAGCGCCCCCGAGCTTCCAGGTGGCGCTCAGCGTAGACGCCACTGAAGGCGCGTCCTCCTGGTCTGGTGCTCACCGTCTCTGCCTCACGGGCACGGCTCACCTTTCAGATCCTTGTGGGCGCCGTGCGCGGCCCGCCTGGCAGGTGAGGCCGTGCGACATGTCCGCGAACGTTAACGTTTGCTCGGGGCCCTTCCTGGGAGCAGGCGAGAGCCGGTCCGCCAGCCGCTGCTTCCCGACTCGGAAAGGGTGTGTGGGTTCCCCGTGTCTCCCAGCTTCCTCCGTGGACAACAGCACTTAGAGCAGCCGCTGGGAACCCTGTTGTCCTAACCTTGATCAAAAGTCATAAAAACATCCCTCGTGAGATGATGGTTTTAAAAGAGATCATCACCACGAAGGGGGCATTGCATTGCCTTTTGTCTTTGTTTTTTTTAAGAATTTTCTTAAAATACATTTTTATTGATTTCAGAGAGGGAGGGAGAGATAGAAACATCAACGATGAGAGAGAATCATGGATCGGCTGCCTCCTGCACGCCCCCCACTGGGGATCAAGCTCGCAACCTGGGCGTGTGCCCTTGACCGGGATCGAACCTGGGACCCTTCAGTCCGCAGGCCGACGCTCTATCCACTGAGCCACACGGGTAGGGCGGGGGCAGTCACTTCCAACATGATTTCTGCTTTCTTTGTCCCCGTTTGGCTCTTTTTAAAAAGCATGTGCTATAGGTGGGTGTGTCCCTTCAGGTTCTGTGTAAGTTGGACACCCAGGCTCGCTCCGGGGAGAGCTGCGTGGCGCTCTTGCGGTCACTGACTCTGGGCAGCCATGAGAGAACTGGCTCCCAAGCCAGTTCTATACGTGCAGGACCCCGACCCCTAAAACACCCGTGGCCGGTGAGCCCGGTTGGGGGCCCTGCCCGAGAAGGCTGAAGGCTGCCTGGATGTGGGCGTTGTGTCGTGCAAATAAGTTAGGGAGTCCGCGCCTGGACGGAGAGCGTCAGCTCAGATTCGAGGGCGCTTAAAGCGTCTCTATCGCCGTTAGTAATCGTGGAGCCTTCACGGAGCCCCGAGCTGCTCGGGTGACATGAAGCCGCAGGGCTTTCGCACCCCGGTCCGCTGTGAGCTGTGAGCGGGAGAGGAGTTCTGATTCTCTGCTGTTTCTCCTCTGAGAGTAAGTCCCGGGGAGATGGGGGACCTGGCAGGCCCCGCCCTGTGTTCCCCGTCCCCAGGGGATGTGTTCCCAGCTCATGCAGCTACAGGCCCCCTGGCTCCTCCCCTGTGCAGGCAGCAGCCCACACCTTCCACGGGATGGAATTGCGCTGGGCTCTTGGTGACCTGCGGGCTGTGCTTGGTTTGTAACCTGCGGAATGTGCTTGGCATGTAATCTACAGACTGTGTGTGGCATGTAACCTGCGGGCTGTGTGTGGCGTGTGACCTGCAGGCTGTGCTTGGTATGTAACCTGCAGGCTGTGCTTGGTATGTAACCTGCGGGCTGTGTGTGGCGTGTGACCTGCGGGCTGTGTGTGGTGTGTGACCTACAGGCTGTACTTGGTGGAGCCTGAGAGCGGCTGGCGAGGCCCAAACGCCGCTGCCGATGAGCCTGGAAACGCAGCTCAGGCAGGTGTCGGACCCGGGCCTCTTGGGAAAGGTCGACAGAAAGCAGGACGACTCGGACCTTCCACGCCGAAGGGGAAATGTGTCCCCGCGGGTGTGGGGAGCGAAAGGGCAGCGGCAGAGCTGGCGGTGGGGAGGGGTGCGGGTCTCCTAGAGCGGAGGCGAGGAGGAGGAGGAGGAGGAGGCACGGAGGACGAGGAGGGTGAGGAGGAGGAGGCTGTAGAGTCCACCCCGGGGGCCGCAGGGCAGGCCGGCCTTGTCTGGGACTTTGGTTCGGCGTGAACCTTGGTCCCGTTTGGGACAGTCAGTCAATAACTCCGCAGGCCGCGGCGGCTGCGGCGAGCTGCTGCCTGCATTCCCCGTCTCGGTGTTTGTGCATCAGCTCCCGGGAAGGCTGGGGCGGGGCGGGGGGGGGGGGTGACCGGGGAAAAGTGCGATCGTGAAACGTTGGAAACCCCCGCATTCTTCTCCCGTGATTGATTTGCTCATTTTTGTAGTTTTGCTTTGCACGGTGCTGTTGGGTTTGCACCGGCTTCGGGCTCAGTTGTTCAGCCTGCTTTGCAGGAGGGTCTGGCCGGGGTCTGCGGTGCTGTCGGGAGGTTCTCCTTCAGTTGTGAGCAGCAGGGCTCGCCCTGAGTTTGGGGAGGAGCAGAGCTTTTCCCTGTGAGCCTGGAGGGGGCTGTTCCGGCCCATTTTTAAGGAGCGGCTGGGTTGCAACAGGGAGTGACCAGACCAGCAGCGTGACCCCCGTGTGCCGGGTTGCACATACGCGAGGCCCGTCCCGCCAGGAAGCCAGTGCAAGCGATTACCGTCACGAGTTCCTCCTTCGCGGGGGACGAGAGGACGTGAGGGGGGCACCGAGGCCTCCGTGCACAGGCGGCCCTGCCCGCGGCCAGGTTGGCGGCGGGATTGCAAAACCCAGCCCTGCCTGAGCTGCAGTTTCTTCCTCCGCGGCCCCAACAGCCGCTGTGCTTAGAGACTGAGCCCGGCCGGTGTGGCTCAGTGGATAGAGCGTCGGCCAAGGACCGAAGGGCCCCGGGTTCGATTCTGGTCCAGGGCGCGTGCAGGAGGCAACCCATCGATGTGTTTCTCTCACATCATGTTTCTCTCTGTCTCTCCCTCTCTCTTCCTCCACTCTCTCTCTCTGAAAATCAGTGGGAAAATATCCTCAGGGGAGGATTAACAAAAAAACCAAAACAATAAAAGAAAGCAGACTGAGGTGAGGCCTGGAGTGCCCCTCCTGCCCGGGGTTAAGGTAAAGGGACGAAAATCCTCGTGAAGTGCTTGTGTCTCACACGCCGGGCTTGGGAGCCTCACTCGTTCCAGCACAGCACCAGGAAACAGACAGGTCCGCGCTGCGTCCACACATCGAGGCAGCTTAAGAAATTCATCTTGGGCCCCGGCCGGTGTGGCTCAGTGGATGGCGCGTCGGCCTGCGGACTGAAGGGTCCTGGGTTCGATTCTCCGGTCAGGCCACATGCCTGGGGTTGTGGGCTTGATCCCCAGTGTGGGGCG